ATGATGTAGTATGCTATAAAAGAAAATGTTCTACTGATCAATTTTTTGCCCCCACATGATTTAGTATACTATAAAAGAAAATGTTCTTGGGTGCCCTTTTCCAGTTAAAAGTTGTTGATATAGGTGTGATGTACACAATGGTACAAAAATATGCGATGAATTAAAATTGCTTACTCTTCTATTTTTTTCGGAAACAGATTCCAGTAATCCTTGCAATGCTAGGAGTTTGGTACAATAACTTCTTTGGTGCTCAGACGCATGGCCTTTTTCCCTATGATCAGGTGAGCCCTTAATTGCGACCAGTGACCTTTCAGTTTTCGTAAATTCCATACCTTGATACTTTGAAGTAATCTTAATCGATCCACTTTATTATCCTCAAACGCTGCTTTGTTTGGGTTTTCAGTACATGCACCGTTTTGCAGCCTATTTTCAGCAGGTAAGCTTGGATGATAAACCAATGCCGTGTGTGTGTTTTCCCTTTTAAATAGTTTCTGACTCAGTATCCGCAGAAATTCTGAATTGTTTTAGATAAGTTTCGTTTAATTTGGTTATTGGTGTAAAAAACGCACACCACCCTCTCAACAAAAACATTGCCAAACGAAGCCAATTGTGACCTGTGAAAAATTATGTTTTCCCGCGCTAAAAGACATTCTCGTGTCTCGTTTTTGTGAGTTCTCAGTTTGGCTCTTCGCAATATTTGTGTTTGATCTAATTGGCTGGTATGTTTACTTTAGATTTGGCTACTCCGACTGGAAAAAAAATTTGCCCAAACTTCTTGTTTTTGATGCGGTTTCTTTCCAAACGTTCTGTAGAAAACAGGCAACCATTTAGACGTTTTTTTTCTTCATTAGGGTGACATGGAGTCTAATGGCAAGTATGTCACACGTAGCGGTGCGCATGTCAACTACTCCACCGGACCCATTGTGTGGGGAGAGCCTGGAACTAACGGACAGCATGCATTCTATCAGCTAATCCACCAAGGTAATCTACACGATGTTACGTACGCTAACAATGTTATTCATTGTCTTCATTTCTGTTGGTGAGACTTAGGGGCGTATTCTATGCCCACCATGCTACTGTCTGGTGGGAGAAGTCAGGTCATGGTTGCGTTCTTGAATATGGACCAGACACTTACACTCACACTCACGCTGCCACCAAGTTTGTTGTTTTGTTGTGTTCGTAAAATAACATGTTGTGGTTTCTTACGCATCAAAAGCACTTATGATGCGCGTGATTTCTTCGCTCTCAAAATTTCTTCCACCTTCCTTTATAGGAACAAAGATCATTCCAGGAGATTTCTTGGCTCCTGTTGAGACTCAGAATCCCATTAGCGGTGGACTACACCACAAGGTATGATTGTCCATATGTTATCTTCAGAAAAAGTCGCGTAATATATCCGCTATAACGTAAATTGTTGTCTGTTCTGTCGCAGATTCTTTTGGCCAATTTTCTGGCTCAGCCAGAGGCTCTGATGAAAGGAAAGACAAGCGACGAGGCGCGAGCAGAGCTGGAGAAGAGTGGAAAGTCTGGAGAAACACTGGAGAAGATCTTGCCCCACAAGGTACATCATACAGTAACATGCCTCTCAAATACATGTCGTAGTATGAACATGTCGTAGTACATGTCGTAGTAACATGCCTCTCAAATACATGTCGTATGAAAAAAAGGGTTGGGTTGCAATTGCGTGTCTTTGCCGTTTTCTAAATCTAGCAGTTCGTTTTGTGAAGTACGCTTTCCCCTAAGATGGTACAAATTACCAAATTGAATCAGTCTGAAACGTAAAGCCAACAGCAATCTTTTTGCCTCCACTCTTCACACCACAAATGAATAAAGGGGGTAAGTTTCTTAAGAAACTGTGGTGCTGCGTCGGTGGGGGAGCGGTGGGGGAGTGTAATAAGGTTATTTTGGTTTTATCAGCCGATTATGTAACCTGGCCACCGGTGGCCAGTTTACCTTATCAACTTTACGTATATGTGCACGATCCTTCGCAGTAGGATCGTGCACATATACGTTTCATAACCGCAGTTCATATATATGTATTTCATATGTTTGTTGTTTGATTTATCATCTACGGGTTTTTGTCGAATTAATTTGATGGCCTGCTCCCAGTTGGCTTGTTAGCTCAATTGGTAGAGCGCTGCACTAGTATCGCAGAGGTCAGTGGTTCGAATCCCGTACAGGCCTGAATTTTTTTCAGGTCTGATTTTCACTATTGCTTAAATAGTGCTTTACTGCGAAGGATCGTGCACATATACGTTTCATAACCGCAGTTCATATATATGTATTTCATATGTTTGTTGTTTGAATTATCAACTTTGTAGATAAAACCAAAATTAACTTCAGTTGTCTTTACACCCTAACATCAGTATGTATATTCTTTATACTGTTCTCTATACATTTCATAAGATGCTAACAAGGAGAATTTGTTTAACAATCAAGAGCCTCTTTAGTTAGTGATCATTTTCTATATTCTCATAACCTTACTGTTTGATTGAGGGGTGAAATTGTTGGAGAAATTAGATGCTAGTCCCTCCTGGGGGACAAAGGCTGGAAAAAAAAAAAACTAGAACTCCTTCACGATTAGAGGACTTTTTAAAGACTTCCTCCTTCCTGGAAGATTTTGAAAGGATGCATAACATCTCAGTGACATCTTTTTAAACTCTGTCTAGCGTAATTTCTTAATCGCCGAAACTTTTTTTGATCGAGCAAGCAACAGATCACAAGGCTTGCTTATAGTTTTAATCCAAAATAAATCATTCACGTGTCTGTTTGCATTACAGGTGTTCATGGGAAATAAACCCACTAATTCCATTCTGTTTCAAAAACTGACTCCGTTCATCCTTGGTGCCTTGCTTGGTGAGTGTTATATTCCGCTTCATAATTTGCTGGTAAAACAAATAAGATTTGTGTAGTCTAAGTTTTCTATCCCATCGGATTCATGGTTTGAATATCATGTCATTGTGAGGACCATTTCCTATACTTCAAAGTGACCGACTGCGAGAAAGGCGCGCGACAGAGATCAGATACGCGCGACTTTTGGCTTCCATGTGTTAGCCGAAGTTACTGGCAACCAGTTCTGCGAAAATGTGTTGTATGACTTACTGAAAAGAAAGCGATGTGCTTTTCAAATGAATAACGCTAATACTGAGTCGATTCCTTTCGTCTTTTTTTTCTACAGCTATGTATGAACACAAGATATTTTGTCAGGGAGTTGTCTGGGATATAAACTCCTTTGACCAGTGGGGGTAAGTAGCCAAGTTGTCTAAATTGTTCTAGGCGATCGAATTAATACAAACGCGACAATTCTACAGAGGAAATGAACAGAAATTGATGTCCTTTTAATCACCTGTGATATATGCTTAAACGGTATCCTGAAAATTAGAACCCCATCGTGAGGCATAAAATTCGGGGAACCTTTTCACTTCCAGGAATGACAAAGAAGTTTTGTACCACAATTGGCAGTAGTGTTGCAACTCTGTACCACTCGACAGCGGCCAATTTGCCGCTGTCGAGTAGTACAGAGTACAGACAACACTGCTCGTGTCAAAGTGTCACGCAGTGGTCACGCACTGAAAGAATCGTTTTATTTCAGTGACGTCGATAGCGTGGTAAAAAAAACAAAACGACAGTGGTTTAGCGGACTCGCGAGGCGCAGCCGAGCGAGTCCACAACATTTTGAAAACTGTGATGCTAAATATCGTAGTCGACAAGAGTACAGACCACGCTAAACGTCCAGAATGCCGCAGCTCGTGTCGTCACTCGTACAAGAAAGTACGACACATCAAACCTATCTTAAATCAGCTGCACTGGCTCCCAGTTAGCCAGCGCATAGATTACAAGATACTACTTCTGACCTACAAAGCGCTCAACGGCTAGGCCCCTGTTACATCACTGAACTGTTGAAGCCTTATGTAACAACCAGAAATCTGAGGTCCTCCTCTAAAAACTTACTTAAATTACCATCTGTTAAGCGAGCAAGTTATGGTCATAGGTGTTTCTTTTTTGTAGCACCGACTCTATGGAACTCTCTTCCAAACAACATAAGAGTGAGCGGCTCGCTATCACCTTTTAAGACCTGTATAAAGACATACCTTTTTAACAAATTTTATAATTGGACTACTGCTTAGTGAGTTCTTTCATTATTTAAGTAGTAAGTTAGGCCGCTAGACAGTTAGCTAGTAAATTAGTTGATAAGTTGGTGAGCTAGTAAATTGGCTAGGAAATTAGTTAATTTCAATATAAGTTTAAAGTTTTTACTCTCATTATTAGCTAGTTTCTTCTACTCGTGTTTTAGAGATTTTTATGGTTTTTATACTCTTATCGGTCCGATTTTTAAAATTACTGTACAGCGCTATTGGATAGTGATAGAAATAGCGCTATATAAATACCGTACTATTATAATTATTATTATTATTATTATTATTATTATTATTATTAAAGCACTGTCGATTTGTTAAATTGAATTTTCCTTTTCTGGATTTTTTTCCCGACAGAGTTGAATTAGGCAAACAACTTGCTAAAGCAATTCAGCCAGAGTTGGAGGGCCCTGAACCAGTGACGTCACACGATTCTTCAACCAATGGTCTTATTAACTTTATTAAAAAACATTCAGCGAAGTGATGCTGGATTTGAAGGAATGTTAGCCTGGGCTGAGTAGTTTGTATTTTGAAGATATCAATTAGCGATGGGGAACGTCACACATAGAATATTTATAATAGCTGTAAAGTAATCTTATGAAGTCGCCAAGCAAAGAATTAGTTACATATGATGCACGATCCTCGCAGTAGATAGCGCTATTTAAGCAGTATGTCAAAGAATTAGTATTTGTAATCTTTCAAATAATTGCCAAAAGCACTAAGTAGTTATCTCAATGGTCTAATAGCTAGTATGGTTTGTTTGTAGAGTCAATTCCTTTTTGGAACAATTGCTGAGTGGCGCCCTGTGGCTTCTAGTAGAAGAGCATAGGGGAAGGAACACAGGGACCCCTTATTTTCCTTTAATCCGATGGTGAATTACCACCAAACACTCACTAGTTGACGTGCGAACCGATTATAAATTTTCGGGGAAGCTGTTGTAGCCTACGAGGTATAGAAAGATGTAATGTATTAGATGTGAAATAAAAAGTAGCTGAAACTTTTGCCAAGTCGATATTAACCATGAGGCCCTGACTAAAACTACATTCACGCGCAAAATTTATAAAAATTTGCGTGTTTCGAGTTTCTATGAGATTTTTTAGTTCTGTTTTTCCTACTCACGGACATCTTCTATCCATGTTTCCATAGGAAAGCTATATTTTGAAATTAGACAAGTTTTCTTTCCTAACAATCTATGACATAATTTTTTTTGATGTCCGAAAAATCAACTACGTATTCAGTTTGTAATATATCTTCTTCAAGGGAGAGTGAACCTAGAGCCTGGTTCAAACGGGTTTCATTAACCCTACTATTTTTTTGTTACAACAATTTTCACAAGCTCGAACTAAGTGGAGCTCTCAGAACTGTGCTGTCGGCAATGGGTTCAAGACGATCCATAACACTTAAATTTTCCAAGGGTATGATAGCCTTTACCCCCTCGGTTATAATGGCTATATCTGTGACTGTCTGTATCGGTATCCCCAAACCTCAGCTGTCTGACCGGGAGAGTATTTTTGTCAGTGAGGAGACCGCTGTCCTCCCGCCATGCACTGTCATCGGCATCACAATTACATACACGCCAGGAGTTTGCACAAGAATTAGTCATCCCGCATGCGCACTTGCCGCTACCAGGAGGTGCTCCGCCCCAGTAATTCATCTTTGTATAATCACGAGACACCCACCAGGCATATCCGAGTCCCATCATCTTGGAACTGTAACACTCATAACTGATGAATTGTTCGCATTTTGAAGAAACTTTGGTGAGACTCGCCAGCTGAGGGAAACTTGCTCCTGTGTAACTTATGAATCGCGAGTAACTACCTCGACCAGCATGACCACGCACGTACGTCCTGCTTTCACTGTTGTGACTGATGACCGTCACGCCAACTCCATTCTTGTCACTCATGTCACAGTAAACCGTAAATGGTGCCAGGCCTCCCTCGCCATCTGGATCAATGACGTAATTTCTGCTAATACTACTGGCGTATTTTCTTATCACGGAACAGGATTTGGGGAACACCGGAGAGTTGATTTTGACTTTGGCTTCTATTATTGTAAGAGCGTTAGTTGCTCTACAGGTGTAATTTCCTTCATGTGACCTGGTGATGTTGTGGATCAGGAGTGTTCCGTTCAGCAGCACCGGTAATGAAGACTTTCCATCCTTTGTCCAGGTGACTGTGGGTTTTAGATCACTCTCGGCAGCACATGCCAATTGAACAGTCGAACCTAACATTGGAGTCAGTTCTTTGGGGGGATGAACTTTGAACTGTAAACGAGGAAATACCATGAGCTGGGCGGTGTCTTCTACTGATCCTAATATATTCTCCACTTTGCAGATGTAAGTTCCCCTGTCCTTCTTTGTAACACCGTAGATTGTCAGCGTTCCATTCCCTTTCGCTGTTTTTCCAGTCCAAGGCAAACCTCTAACAGCCTTTGACCAAGTGACATTTGGTTGAGGCAGACCAGAAGCAGTGCAGGAGACCGACACGTTTTGTCCTTCCTCGGCTAATAATGCATTTGATGACAACATGATCTGAGGAGCGACTGCGGATTGAAATAATCTCGATTAGAAAAGGCGGGTCCACTTAGCAGCCGTTCTCCTTACCAAGTAAATACTTCATCAAAATTAGGACAAAGGAAGAAACTAAACAAAGAAATAAATAACAATGACTCGAAAAGAAAGTAATGACTTAAAAAATGGGAAGGATCAAAAGGAAAAGAAAACATGAAAAGAGAAAGTCTGAAGAAAGAAGAGGAAAGAGTTAAGAAACGATTGAAGACAGTTAAGATGGACTTTAAGTGAACCACCAAAAGGATTCTAAAACGCCCTGCGTCTTAAAGTTTGGATCACAAATGCCAAGCGACAAGCGATAAGCGTCTATGTAACGAGTTACGGTTCTTGATGCAACACTTTGACGTCTTCTGTGATCTTAAAACTGCGAGCTTTGACAGATCGTTGGCAATAGTCTCATCGAATTCGTGTTAGACTTAACATATTTTAGAAACAACAATGAAGAGCTAATTGTCACAAAGATTCAAATCTTTTCTCTTTCCTGCTAAGTTTTTATAAAAGGAAAATCCTCAATAGTTTATCAATAATCAATCCTCAATAATTTATCTATAGTATCGTATTTGGTCTTACATTTAAGGCTGATATTTCAGTGAATTCCTGTTACAGCTTAAAGTAACTTACATTGAACAGTTAATTTCGCCGATGCATTTACTCCACCCAACAAACTTTTAGCATTACAAATGTAAATTCCGTCATCCTCTGGCCTTACATCCGTCATCATAAGCGTGCCACTGGACTCTACCACGTGACGTCTGGTAGGAAGCGACGAATTAAGCTTAGACCACGTTACTTTTGGATGTGGATTACCATCCGCTGTGCATTTCAGCATGGCTGTCTGACTCTCGTTGACTGTCGTTCCAACAGGACGCTCTCGCAGAGATGGAGCTGAGAGGGACTGACCCGGCTCGCCTTTGGCGCCTTTAACACCTGACGGGCCTCTGAGTCCCATAGGACCTTGCTCCCCTGGTATTCCGATGTCTCCCTTAGTTCCTTTTGGTCCTTGAAGTCCAATGGGACCATGTTTACCAGGGGATCCGCTTAGCCCGGGTCTCCCTGGGGGGCCTGGTTTACCTCGGCTCCCTGGTCTGCCTCGTCGTCCCCTGTTACCTTTTGGTCTCGCCCGGCAGAGTGTGTGATCCTTAGCACATACTTGGTTTTGAAGCAAATTAAGTTCTTGTCTGATTAAACCAACAAGAGTGTTTGTGGAATTTGCATTCATTAACAGATATTCTGAAGCTAGGTTTCGTTTTACTCTTGGAGCGTTTTCGCGAAAACCTACAAGATAAAACTGACTATTATTTTCTATATACTGTGAACATCAGTCCTCCAAACTTTACTTTCTTATATCATTTTTTAGTATAATTTCAGAGCTGAGCAAAGAGTTTCCAGCAATCTGATTGGTCGAGAGGTTCCCTATATGACGCTATATAAACCGCTCCACGCGGTTTATATAAAATATTAAAATAAAATGTTAATAAATGCTACTAAAATGTTATGATTTTAGAAATTTCTCTGTTGTTCAGCTCTGAAATTATACTAAAACAATTATTCGCCTCAGGTTCGGTGAATATTGTCGAATAATCCCCGAGACGAAGTCGAGGGGATTATTCGACGATATTCACCTCGCCTTCGGCGAATAATTGTTAAATATAT